ATATATATATATATATATATTTATTTATTTATTTATTTATATTTATCTATTTATTTGTTACATACATGGTTAGATCAAGGTTAGATCAAGTCTTGTTGACTTGGGCAGCCCTTTATTCTATTGAGTTAAAAAGCAATTATTTGTTGTAAATGTCGAAAAATTGCAGTATTTCCGGCTGGAATAATGCAGTTTCCGTTCATGTCGCCCGGTGTCCCGAATTATGTGACATATGCAATGGTTGGCGCAGTTGTTGGACATGAAGTATCGCATGCATTCGATGATCAAGGTTTTGCCTTACACACTTGTATTGTATAAATATATACAAAGAAACACACACACACACAAACAAAGAGTTTCTCACTTTTGTTCTTCCTCAAAAAAATAGCGGTTTTTAAGGAGGGTCTCTTGGACTGTGAAAGCATGTAATTTTAACCCATAAGAGGGCAAAACGTTGTTATTTGATTTTCAGGCGGTCGTTATGATGAGTTTGGTAATTTGCATGACTGGTGGGATTCTCAGACGGCGCATAAATTTTATGAAAAGACGGAGTGTTTTATCCGACAGTACAGTAGTGTGAAGGTGGAAGAGGCCGGCATGCACCTGAACGGACGATTATCTGTCGGCGAAAATATTGCTGATAATGCAGGTGTTAAAACGGCTCTTATGGTAAACTTTTTGCTTTCTAGAAAAGCTGTCAAATCCAAGGACTTATAAAGAATAATACTTGAAAAGTGAAATGCCACAGTCGTCGCCCTGACCAGTTCGAGTTGTGGCGCTGAGCAGGCATGTATGCAACTTGGTTGACCGAGGCATTCCTATTCCGTTGATCAGTTTTTATATTTTATGTATTTCGTCATCACAAATTCTATTGTAAAAAAAGAGGAATCTAGTTTGGTAAACCAGCGACTGTGTAGGAATTACAGTGGGCCGGATCCTATTTCATACTGGTGCTTAATTCTGCAGAACGCGCAGTCATATGATAACAGATTCAGCAGTTCTAGAGGACAGAATTCAACTCGCAAAAATTACTGATTGATAGATGTGCAGCCCATGCGCTCTTCCTAAAAAAATATTTAAGAGTGGTTGTTGTTTTCGAGAGGTTCTTGCAATACCATTAACTGTCCGCTGGAAGAAAAATCTCGATACTTTTTTTGACTTAAGCAATAGCGTGCCAGTATTCAAATTTCGCAATATCCAAAAGGCATCATTCACAGTGTTGCGCAAATTCTTAACGCACATGTTTCAGGCCTATAAATCTTGGCTTTCAAAGGGACCTCATCAGGAGGCCGCTTTGCCAGGTTTTCAGAACATGAGCAGCATTCAGATGTTCTTCCTGGCTTATGCTAATGTAATTTTTTATGCGTTTTTTGCATTTATGCAATGCAGAAAATGCATATTGACGAGAGGTAGCCTGTGTGTGTGTGTGTGTGTGTGTGTGTGCGTGTGTGTGTGTGTGTGTTCGCCTGTACCGGCTTTTCATCACGAGACCTACAAAAGTTGTAGGGCTGAAACTTTGGGAACATAATCTACATGCGTGTACGGGCTCTTACCCAGGTGGCCCGCCAAAGTTTTCTTCGGGTACGTTGCTAACCCGCGAACCTGAAAAGCTAAAGGACTGAAATTTTAAGGGAGCCTCCCCTTGTGCTCAGGTCTCAAGTACAGTCCTGTGAAAATTTTAGCGGGGAAAATTATCTCGGGAAGCACGGAAATTTAGAGGATGAGATTTTAGAAGGTTGTTTCTGCCTTTGCAGAGATCTCACAAACTCATATCCGTCTCCCACGTACACTTTGGTCCCACTATAACCAGCTGAAGACTTTGACGCGAAAGTCACTAATTTGGAATCCAGAAAACTAGGAAACTGAAATTTGGGAGAATATCCATCGCCCGTTTAGCGATTCAAAGGTTTCAAATTTAGCTTTCGCTTGCAACTACATTTCATTTACCGGTGGGTTTAATTTTTGTTGGGAAGTTTCGTAGTTTAGGAGCTATACAACATATCGGCCATTTTTGCACACACTAAACTGTAAAATAGTGAAAATTCCTAGTAGAAAATGTTCGTTGGATGAAACCGCACAGAACATATGATCACACTGACTCTTCTTGAGGCGCGTCACTATTTATTTTAATAAGTTCTAATTTTTATGCGTTTTTTGCAGCAATGCAATGCGAAAAACGCATATTGACGAGAGGTTGTCT